TGGCCATGGTTCATGGGCCCAGCCGCTCCGCGGCATGTGGGATCTTCCCGGACCGGGGCACGAACCCGCATCCCCTGCATCGGCAGGCGGACTCTCAACCACTACACCACCAGGGAAGCCCCTCTGAGGCTCAGTCACACATTTGGTAATGCAAGAAACAGCAATCTTATAAAATAGGCAAATACAAGTAATATAGTTAGTAGTATTAATAGGATCATAGGTAAGTATTTAAGCTAAGATCTTCCACAAGGTGAGGCCCAGTATCTCCTCAGGTCTCTGAGCAGTCTGTTTTGCACCAATCTCTATCTTTAAGGAAAATGATATATTGGCATTGTACATAAAGTTCACCAAAGATGTCTGCATATACAAGGCGAGTGGTGGGTCATTGTGACCCCTTACAGGATTGAGAAAGGAATGTTATCTTCTAAGGAGTTACATGGCTGGCGCCAGAAGGAGAAAAAGTGATCTTTTGATTGAGCAGGTATTTCTGCCATTGGGGAGGTCTAGTTAAATGCATAATGCAGATGCACAATGCACACTGGAGGGGAGGGAGGAGGCCCAAATGGGCAGAGAAAAATTTTATGTTTAAATTTTTCTTGTCTTTCCTTAAAATATGAATTTTATTTCACGAGGCCAAATCGTGCAGCGTCTGAAGCAGTAGGAGCAACATCCGTCATCGCTGCTGTGATGACGATGATGATGTTGAAGATGATGATGTATTTATACCACCCAGCCCGGTACCAAGCTGAATGCATAATATACGCTAACTCCTTCCCACCACGCTTGGGCTTGAAAATGTACGGGGTGTTTGGGAAAAAGAAAGAATTTCCCAGTGTCTGGAGCACGTGAGACGAGTGTTGAGAGGTGACTCTGGAAAGGTCACATTGGGGCCAAGTTATGCAAAGTTTTATATTCCACATGGGCAGTGGGGAGCCACGGAAGGTGCTGCAGCAAGGGGATTAGTATGATCAGACAAATCGTCAAGTTAAGGGAGATCACCAGGCTGGGGCAGTCAGGAAGACTGCACCTTAAGCTTAGGCCAGAAGGCTGAACGGCACGCAGTAGGCTGCAGTGCCCTCACCCTGCTTCCCTTCCAGGTGGTTCCACGTGTGTTCGGCCGTGTGGTAGGTAAGAGCCGCGAGGCAGTGGCCCAGGCCATGGTGCTGGAGATGTTCCGAGAGGAGGACTACTACAACGACGACGTCCTGGACCAGATGGGTGCCAGTATCCTGGGTGTGGAGGGCCCCCGGTGCCACCTGGACGAGCCCACAGAGGATGAGGTCTTTGAGCTTTTCCCCATGTTCATGGGCGGGCTTCTCTCTGCCCATAACCGGGTAGTGCTGGCTCAGCTCGGCTGCCCCATCAAGACCCTGGATGCCCTGGAGAATGCCCAGGCCATCAAGAAGAAGCTGGGCAAGCTGGGCCGGCAGGTGCTGCCCCCCTCGGAGCTCCTTGACCACCTCTTCTTCCACTATGAGTTCCAGAACCAGCGCTTCTCTGCCGAGGTGCTCGGCTCCCTGCGCCAGCTCAGCCTGGCGGGCGTGCGCATGACACCCCTCAAGTGCACGGTGGTGGCAGCTGTACTGGGCAGTGGAAGGCATGCCCTGGACGAGGTGAACTTCGCCTCCTGCCAACTGGACCCTGCCGGGCTGCACACACTCAGGCCTGTCTTCCTGCGTGCCCGGAAGCTGGGGTGAGGCCCTGTCCTCGTGCATGGGTGGAAGAGAAGGTGCTTGGGAAAGCAAAGGGAGTGAGGAAGGACCAGGGGGTGGGGTGAAATCTGGTACGGGTGGAGGTGACAAGAGGTATAGAAGGGGACACAGCTGTGGACTACAAGAGGCAGGATGGTGCGGGAGGGGCCCGGTGGGTGGGCAGGCTCCACGCCGAACGCCTTCCTTGGTTTCTCACCTCCTCTCTGCCCACCTTCTGCTGCAGCTTGCAACTCAACAGCCTGGGCCCCGAGGCCTGCAGGGACCTCCGAGACTTGCTGCTGCATGACCAGTGCCAAGTTACCACCCTGTGGTGAGTGCCCTGGGAGGGGGCTCCATCCTGCTGGCCAGCTAAGGTCAAGGGTGAGCTCCCCACCTCCCAACATGCCTGGAACAGGCGCACCCATGCTGTAGTAAAGAAGGCGGGGGGCTTCCCTGGTGGCGCAGTGGTTGAGAGTCCGCCTGCCGATGCAGGGGACAGGGGTTCGTGCCGTGGTCAAAAAGGGGGCCGGGGGCTCCGGGGGGGGCACGGTGGTGGCGCCCCCCCCTGCCGATGCAGGGGATACGGGTTCGTGTTCCGGTCCGGGCGGATCCCACATGCCGCGGAGCGGCTGAGCCCGTGAGCCATGGCCGCAGGGCCTGCGTGTCCGGAGCCTGTGCTCCGCAATGGGAGAGGCCACAACAGTGAAAGGCCCGCATACCGGAAAAAAAAAAAAAAAGAAGGCGGGAGTGTAGACCTTGACCTACTCCCCACCCCACGACGTCTAGTACAAGCAGCCAAGCAGGGGGAAAGATGCCACCAGCCATAAATTGGTGCTAAGAAAGCCTCTTGCGTGGCTAAAATCAGCCTGGGGTGGGGGGTGGAATAACACCCAGGCTGGTTACCTGGTAACGACGCCACTGATTCCCTTCCAGGATTGTCCCTGTTGCCTCACAAGGATGACCCTGACGCTGGGCACTCAGTAGATGCTCCCAAAGTGTTGACTGATTTACTAGCAGCCCAGACGCTGGGTTCCTGATTTGGGGTTGGAGGAAGGGGAGATGAATGAGGAGGGAGGGAGAGGGGGATGGGGAAACAGGAAGGGAGGATGAAGCAGGGGCTGGAAGGGGGGGGAGGAGCAAGAAGGAACATGGTAACGAGGAAGGGGAGAGGGAAGAGGGGAGTCTCAAAGGAGAATGGAAGGCGGGAGTAGGGGAGGGAGAAGCCGGCTTCCACCCCACCCTCCCTCCTCTAACCCCCGTTTCTCCATCCTCTTTTCCTGGGCCTGCATTTCTCTGCGTCCAGGCTGGTCTCTGCCCCAAGCGGTGCACTGTTTTGGCCCAAGTCCCAGTGCTTAGCACAGGGCATCTGCTAGGGGCCCTCATAACCTTGGGGTGCTTGTGGCCCTAGGCTGTCCAACAACCCGCTGACGGCGGCGGGTGTGGCCCTGCTGGTGGAGGGGCTGGCGGGAAACACCTCGCTGAAACACCTGTCTCTGCTGCACACGGGCCTTGGGGATGAGGGCCTGGAGCTGCTGGCTGCCCAGCTAGACCGTAACCAGCAGCTACAGGAGCTGAATGTGGCCTACAATGGCGCTGGCGACACAGCGGCCCTGGCCTTAGCCAAGGCTGCCTGGGAGCACCCTTCCCTGGAGCTGCTGCAGTGAGTCTTGCCCTCCACTCCCATCTCCCCGCCCACCCTTGGTGATTGGCCCTTCCCCTGCCCTGATTCTCCACCACCATTTCTCCTAGGGTGCTAGTGGCTGCATTTCTATTGACCCTGGTCCCACTGAATTCTAGCGTCATCCCTGCCTCCCAGTGGCCACCACCCTCCATCTCTGGCTTATTGCAAACACTTAGCCCGTTGCATTTCACAGCCAGGGGAACAGTTATGAGACCCCTTACTCTCTGTGCACCCGCGCTCTGCCCCTTATTCTCAGAGCTGAACAGCATCTACCGTTCTCCCTCCCGCTAGCCTTTACTTCAACGAGCTGAGCCCAGAGTGCCGCCAGGCCCTGCGGGACTTGGGGAGCACCACTGAGGGCGGTGCCCGGGTCGTGGTGTCGCTGACAGAGGGGACAGCAGTATCCGAGTACTGGTCAGTGATCCTGGGTGAAGTCCAGCGGAACCTCAACAGCTGGGATCGGGGCCGGGTCCGGCGCCACCTGGAGCTTCTGCTGCGGGATCTAGAAGATAATCGAGGAGCCACCCTTAATCCTTGGCGCAAAGCCCAGCTGCTTCGAGTGGAGGGTGAGGTCAGGGCCCTCCTGGAGCAGCTGGGAGGCCCTGGAAGCTGAGACAGTGGCAGCAGTGTGTGTCCCCTGGCCCCAAGCCACTTCTGTCTGTGGCCTCCTAGCTTGCACTACCGCTTCCAGAAAGATCCCTTCAGGGCTGGCGGCAAAGGAATGGGCACATCTGTGCCAGTTGCTCTCCTGGGGCATGTCCAACCAGTGCTTCCAAGTCTGGAGTTTTCAGGGTCATGGAACATTCTTCCCCTCCCTTCGGCTAGAAGGACTGAAAGATGTGGCATTTTGGTGGCCACATTGTCCTGTAGCACCACCACCAATCTCCTCTTGGATTGTGCCACCAGGGGGCACACTTCTTTTGTCGGCCTTGCCAGGGGCTTGCCATCCAGATGTGTTGGAGGGCCTCTGCGTCCTGCCTTTATGCTTTCTGGGGACACCCTGGGACACCCAGGATGCCAGCAGCCACTTTCCTCTCTCACTGGTGCTGTGTCCTCACCCTTGTTTCCCCTTCACCACAATGGTACCCAAGCTCGGTGGCCTCTAGGGGCATGGGTGCTGACTTGCTGCTATTAAAGAGCTGTGTCTTCCAACTGCTGTGGAGTGTTTTTTGCCTGTTGCTTTCAAGAAAGGGTACTGTTCTTGGTCATTCTGGTTAAAGCACTGAGCACTTTCTGTTGCAGATGTTTCTTGGGCACTAGTTTCAGAGGCCCTGAGGGTGGCACAAGAACAAGATGTCAGCATGGGGGTAGCCATAGGGCTCCTGTCACCCTTCTCATACTCTTATCCCAGGCTTGGAATTACAGTGCCCAGCAATTACAGTGACTTTTCTCTGCGCAGAGGGGGAACTGGGACGGCAGCAGAGTCTCCTGAGAAAGTCGGGGCTCAAGAATAGGGCGGGAAGGACAGACACACTTCCCCAGAGGACAAGACTCTCCTGCCGTTAACCATTACCGACTGCTTCTAAGGCAGCGTCTTGGAGAAGGCGGGACGTGGCGGGGTAGGTGGGAGGGTCAGCTGGTTTCGATGGACCTTGTCCCTACACTGAGCCTGGCTCGCTGATCCAACCATGGAGGCAGCCGCAGGTAAGAGGCCAGGAGAAATCCTCTTTGGGGGACTTTAGGGCAGAGGGCAGATTGGAAGGCTTTGGGACCAGGACACACTTGGTACTGGGGCTTGGAGCCCTGAGGCAAATAGACTGGAAGTCAGGAGGGGAGAGGTGAGTGGTTGGATGTGTCTGCCTTCCTGGTCCACGCCCTGTACTGATACGCTCAGATTTCTGTGCATATCAGGAGGCCTTGCCCGGGGAGGGGAAGGAAGCGGAAGGCAAGACCCTTTTGGAGCAAGTCCTGAATTTGGGGGCTCCCCGAAGTCCTTTCAGTTAATGACCATGGAAGAGGAGTCTCGGGGGGCAGGATGTGCCTCTCCTCCCCGCACCCCTTCTTTTCCCAGCAGATCTTCAGGACACAGCTTCCTTGGCCCCGTAAGTGCTGTGCTGTGAAGGATTGGGGCGAGGGGAGGAGGGATTGAAGGTGGGGAAGCTCTTCAGCTGCCATTAGCCATTAGCACCTCAAGGTGAGCCTGGGACCCAAGTCCAGATGTCAGTTTTCTCCTACCTGCTTGACTTGCTTCCTTGCAGGAAGTTCGAGTTTAACCCCAAACTGGGCATTGATAATCCTGTGCTCTCCCTGGCTGAAGACCACGAGCCCTCTGGTAACCCCCCACCACTTGGGGCAACCATTTCCTTTCCCCAGAGCCACCAGGGCTCCACACAGCTTCCCGTCTCCTTGGTAACCACTCACTCTGTCTCCCTCTGATAACAGCCTTGGTGGGAGTACCCACGTGGAGGTGGAAGGGGGCCAGGCATTTCCTTCTGTCCCCGCCACTCTGCCTGGGCCGTGTTCAGTCCCCCTGCCCAGTTCCTAACTGGGCAGAAGCCTGTCTGGCGTTCTATCACAAGGGTAGCGTCTGCCAGACACAAGGTGACTTGTACTTGGGTCATGTCCCCTCTACTCCCCCTTTTCTGCTGCCCACCTCCCCTTCCAGATCTCTGGAGCCTGGAACGACCTCGCTTCTATCTGCTGAACAGAGAGGAGGGCAAGAGTTTTGGCTTCCACTTGCAGCAGCAGTGGGGCAGGGCTGGGCATGTGGTGTGCAGGGTGGAGCCAGGCACCTCTGCCCAGCGCCAGGGTCTTCGGGAAGGAGACTGGATCCTGGGGGTGAACAACCATGTCGTGGAACATGAAGACTATTCAGTGGTGAGGTTGGGCTGGGACCCCTGTGGTACAGGAGAACATTCTATAGCACCTCAGGGAGACAGAAGCCGGTTGGTCACCTCCCTGGGTATATGGGGGCAGGACCCAAGCCTCAACCTCCCCCATCTCCCAGAACTTAGGGACGCCCAGGCCCGAATGGTTGCGTGAAGGCCTCCAGAGAGCTGGTTCCCATGGTGAAAAGTGTAGCTTCCAGGGAGGGGAAGCTGGCAAGAGGGGCCAGCCCAAGCCTGCTCCGTGTGCCCACCGTTCAGGTGATACGCCGCATCCGGGCCAGCGGTCCTCGGGTATTGCTGACGGTTTTGGCGCAGCACGTGCATGAGGTGGCCCGAGCTCAGCGGGAGAACGATGCCCACCTCTGTCCCACTCTCGGCCGAGGGGTCCGGCCTCGGCTGTGCCACATAGTGAAAGACGAGGGTGGCTTTGGCTTCAGTATCACCCAAGGTGAGCTTAGAGCTGGGGAGGGGTCAGGAGGGGGATCTCAGCCCTGTTCTGGGCAGGCAGCAGGCAGAAACTTGCTGTTTGGGCTTCCAGGACATCGGGGTCCTTTCTGGTTAGTGCTGAGCACTGGAGGAGCAGCTGAGCAGGCAGGAGTGCCCCCTGGGGCCCGGCTGCTAGAAGTGAATGGGGTCAGCGTGGAGAAGTTCACGCATAACCAGCTCAGCAAGAAGGTATGACTGCCTGTCTCCCAGCCTTCCTCACCCCTGGGGCCTGGTCCCTGCCTCTGGAAGTAGACTCCTCCTCCACACGCCTAATCGCCTGATCCCATCTTGTGCCTCTGTCACCATCCTTCCCTTTACACTCTGTGCTGGGCCCTCCCCTCCCTTCCCTATTGCCTCATTCCTGGGCCTGGGAAGAGGGGCTGTGAGGAGGTGCCTGCCTCTGCCCTCCCTACCCAGGTGGTGGACACTGATGCCCTGCTGGGTCCCCACAGCTTTGGCAGAGTGGCAAGCAGGTGACCCTGCTGGTGGCAGGGCCAGAGGTGGAGGAACAGTGTCGCCAGCTGGGAATGCCCCTGGCTGCACCCCTGGCAGAGGGCTGGGCACTGCCCACCAAGCCCCGCTGTCTGCATCTAGAGAAAGGGCCCCAGGGCTTCGGGTTCATGCTTCGAGAGGAGAAGGGCCTTGATGGTCGGCTCGGTGAGTAAGAGCCCTGGGGACGGGGAGGGAAGGTGGGCCTTGGGGTGGGCACACAAGTGTATATATATATACCTCTCAGTGCCCACAAATGGTGGCCCTGGCTGAACCCCAGCCTGGGCCTCCTCCTCTTGTGTAGCCCTGGGTCCGTCCCCCGGTGTGCATACAGTGGCCTGGGCCGGCACTGGGGGTCAGTGGGGAAGGAGCAAGGAGGATGTCTGCATCCCAGGCCAGTTCCTGTGGGAGGTAGACCCAGGACTGCCAGCAGAGAAGGCCGGGATGCAGGCTGGGGACCGGCTGGTGGCTGTGGCTGGGGAGAGCGTGGAAGGCCTGGGCCATGAAGAGACAGTGTCCAAGATCCGGGCGCAGGGCTCCCGCGTCTCTCTCGTTGTCGTCGACCCCGAGGCTGACCGCTTCTTCAGCATGGTGCGAGCTGAGGGGCAGGGGCTGGAGAGGGCGCAGGAAGAGAGCAGGGCTCGGGCGCGGGAGGACGCTGCAGGGTTTGTCCCGTCTTCCTCTTTTCCAGGTTCGTCTGTCCCCACTTCTCTTCCTGGAGAGCACAGAGGCTCCTGACTCTCCCCAGGATACCGGCTCAGCCTCTCTGGTTGAGACCAAGGACCCACCAGTTGAAGACACATCCATCCCACGCGGCTTCCGCCAGTGCTTCCTGTACCCTGGGCCTGGAGGTGGCTATGGCTTCCGACTCAGCTGTGTGGCCAGTGGGCCTCATCTCTTCATCTCCCAGGTGACTGATGCCCCAGGGACCTTGGATCTTTTCAATCATTTGCCTCTTGACAAGCCTTCCTCTGCTTCCCTCCCAGAGCCTCAGTACACCCAGCAGACTTTTCCGTGGTATTCCAAGCTCTACATTCCCCCCATTCCACCAGGTGACCCTAGGAGGCTCAGCTGCCCGGGCGGGACTGCAAATGGGAGATGTGATTCTGGAGGTGAACGGGAATCCCATGGGCAGAGAGAATGACCTGGAAAGACTTCAGCAGCTGGCTGAGGCGGAGCCACCCCTATGCCTGAAGCTGGCAGCCAGATCTCAGCAGGGCTTGGAAGCCTGGATTCCCCCAGGGTCTGCAGAGGTGAGGAGGAAGAGACAGATGGACTGTGAGTCAGCCAGAAGAGGACAGAGGGGAGCCAGAGCCGAGGGCAGAGCGGGAGGCTGCAGGGTGGAGCAGTATGGGGCACTCAGGTTGGGACTTGAGGCCATGGTAGGTGGGGACAGAAGGACCCAGGGAAGAAGCCCCGTTCCGGGGCATCCCGGTGAGGCGGGGCACAGGAAAAGGGAACTCTTCTGGTCTCTGAATGACCTCTTCCCTTCTTTCTCTGCTTAGGACTGGGCTGTAGCCTCAGATCTACTGTAGCAACCCCCTATGCCTGGCACAGATCTGCCCAAGCTTTCCTGTCTCCACTCTCCAGCCTGAGGTGGTGGGAGCTGAGATGCTCTCTTTAAACCAGAAGCTGCAGCTCTAGGACTCCGGATACCTCCGATCACAGGATAGTCCTTGGCCTCCCTCCCTTCCCATGGGCCTACTTCCTGGAAGAG